TCTATCTACAATTGTTAATTGTGGTTGAGTCAAACACATTTTTCCAATTACCGAAAGCGGTTAAGGGTTATACCCGAATATAGTCAACCACATTTTGTCAACCACATTTTAATCCCAATGAGATATATGTCCAATATAGATACCAAATGACAGCACAAACCGTTGCAATCAAACCGAATAGGTTTATTACCCAGATATCCGTATTGATGCACGTCGTCGTCGCCGCCGAAGATGGGCGCAGAGAAAGCGAAGTTCGCGCATAGACCACCCAATACAGCCGGCGTGGGACGCGCGAAGTCGCGACCGTTTGTTTAGGGAAGCGCGACCGTTGGTCCACGTGTATTAGCGGCATTTACCCATCACATATACAGCAACGCAAGATGGATTTATTCGACAAATTATTTATACACCAGCGCGAATGCGAGATCATCATATGCAAGCGATGCCGGTTCGCCGTCAATCCAGCCAGTATAAGAGGCCACATCCAAAGCAAGCACAAGACCGTCACCAAATCGCAATGCGCCGAAGTCGTCGCATTTGTCGGCGGTTTATCGCAGGTCGCACAGATCCCAGAACAAGTGAAATACCCCGATGCCAGTAGTTCGGCGATCCCGGGGATACCAGTATACAGAAACGGATTACGATGCGTGTTTGAGAACGAAAGCCAAGATTGCAATTACACATGTCGAGATCGCAGCACCATGCAGAGGCATTGTAAGACGCACAATTACAAGAACCCACGTGGAAAGGGCCGGCCCACCGAAGACACCGATCGCAGTAAATTATGGGTTGAAAACCAACCATGCCAGGAATTTTTCAAGACGGGAACATGGCGCAAGATGTTTCCCGTGCAGGTGGTGCCAAGTTCCCGCCGGGCAGTCACAGTCGACGTCGTCACCAAGGCCAACGAGTGGATAGACGGTTTATTCACCGAGATGGATCAGGCGCAGGAAGAAATCCGCACCGAACGCAATCGATACGAGCCAAACCCGTGGTTGGAGCACACCGGGTGGGAGCGTCATTTGCCCAGCGATTATCGACGGTGGATCACGGAATTCGTCAAAGCCGAACCCAACACCAGAAAGTTGCAGGAAAGATTGGGGGAGGATGATGAACGATTTGCCCCCGATCGAGAGAAGGCATTGTCGCGTGCATGCGAGGGTACCGTGTTGTTGATCCGCCGTTCGTTCCAGACCAGTCGTGTGGAGATTGTCGGGCGCCATGCGTTGCATTGCGTCAATCGAAGGGAGAACGGTGCGCCGAACAACGACAAGCCATTTTACGGCAAACAAAAGATCCAGACGATCCGCAAATACGCCAGCGTATTCACGCAGATATTGCGGTATATTTGGAGAACGGCGAAAATGTCGGAGCGGCCAAAGTATCGATTGACGGACGCGCAGCAGCAAGCATTAGCACGATTGCAGCATGCGGCATCCGGACGGATATCGAGCAGTCGCGGGCGAGAGGACGTCGTCCGAGCCAGTTCGGAGTTTTGGGTCGCGATGTTCGATCACGATTTGAAGGACAACGAATTCGAGAACGCCATGTTGAGCGGGTTGGCCGTGTTGGGCACATGCGGAGAGAAGAACGGTTGGGTACCGGCCATATTTTACACGCCCACATTGGCCGCGATGATCACCAGCATGCGAGCCATCATCGTGCGCCGAGCATGGCGCAAACGAATGGATTACATCGAGCAGCAAGTGAACAACGGCATGGACCACGACACGGCCGAGCAAGACGCACCGGTGATCCATCAGTTGGTGCAGCAGGACGTGGCAAAGTTCATGACCATGACGGAATATGGTGGTCAGCCCAGCCCCATCCAAACCATTCACACCCAGAAGATGTACGGTTTGAAGATCCGATACACGACAAACGCCGACGGACAGGTGGGTTGGTCCGGACCCAACCACGACATCATTGTGGTACGCAAAGTGCAGTTCAGTATGGGTCAGATCCGTACGGTAGTGCACGGGTTGTTAGCCACCACCCGCAAGCGATTGGTAGAGCAGTTGATGTTCATGGTTCCCGGGGTCGGCGATTGGCGAGCAGAAGACATGCCGAGATTCGACATGGCCAGCATCGTCGACAACCACGCCATCATGGACGAGGGGTTCAATTTCATTCACGATGCCCGTAACCCATGGCCCGTAGAAGGGAAACGATGGTTAGGGCAGCGGTTGTTCACCGAAGCCCACGTTCGAGCACGATTCATGGAGGACATCGAGAGCCGGAAGTTCAACCCGGACGCAGTAGAGTCGTATTTGCGGCAAGTGAGGAGATGGAAGGAGGAGATGTTGGTGTTGGTGCACATGTCGGCAGGGGCGCCGGCCAGAGCCACCGAATTGGTCAGCGTGCAACAGGTCAACGGCGAGAACGCACGTTGTCACCGAGGCATCATGATCGACCAGGGCATGGTGGCGTTCATCACGTCGTACCACAAAGGGTTCAGCGCAAGTCAGAGCCAGAAGTGCGTACACCGGTTCGTGCCACAAGAAGTAGGCGAATTGGTGGTGTATTATTTGTGGTTGATCGAGCCGTTCATCCGCATTTTACAGAGCAGTCGCGGCCAGATGACGTCCAGCCCATGGTTTTGGGAGCCAGCGCCAGAAGAGGAGTGGGGAGACGAGGAAGAAGAGTGGGCGGAGGAAGACGAAATGGAAGGGGACGCAGATTTGCCCGAGGTGCCCGAAGATCAGAGCGCGGAAGCACGTTTCGTCCAGCAGCGTTCCAAACCGGTGGTCGCACGCAATTGCGATGGGTTTTGGGAGACGAACCGGATCCGCCGAGTGATGCGTAGGGAGAGCGAGAAGCGGATTGGAGTGCCCATCGGGACATCCGATTGGCGACAAGCGTATCCAGAAATCCACCGCGAGTTTGCCATCAACCAGGACGTTGCGGGCACATTAAACCGCATATACGCCAACGAGAACCCGTTCAAACAGGGTATGGAGATGAGCGAGGAGCAGACGCGCGAAACCATCCGGGCCAGGCAGTCCGGCCACAGCCCGCAGATGGAGGAGAGCATTTACGGGCGGCAATTGCAGCAGAACCCGTTCGCAATGCGGCGAGAACAGGATGCGTTCCGCGAGGTGAGCGTGGATTGGCACCGTTTCATGCAGTTTCCGTCGTCATACGAAGTGCAGAATGTCAGCCCGGACATCAGGCGAAGGACCAAACAGGAGCAGGACAGCCGGAAATTCGAGCGGTGGCAGCAAATGCGGCAGATCGACGTGGAAGCCCAGTTGAAGAAGATGTACGGAGCCCGAGCCCAGTTTCGCGGCAAGCAACGAGAGGCATTGGATGCCATCGTCAGCGGCCAACCCCGGATCGTCGTCGTGATGCGCACAGGCGGTGGAAAGAGTTTATTGTTCATGTTGCCAGCAGCAGCATCACGAGACGGAGTCACGATCGTCGTGATGCCGAAGATCATGTTGCAGGAGGACATGGCCGACCGATGCCGCAAGGATGGGATCCGGTGCGCGATTTGGAGCGACAGTCGAGCGCCGCCGTACGATGCACAGATAGTGTTCGTTATCGCCGAGTCGGCGGTGTCGCAGTCGTTCGCGGATTACATCAACGCGAAGATGTTGAATCAGCAGTTGGAGCGAGTCATCATCGACGAGTGCCATTCCGTGTTGCAATCGACCAAGAAGTTCCGCCCGAAGGTGTTGCAGTTACGTGAATTGATCAGCCGGCAGACGCAGGTGGTGTGTTTGACGGCAACGTTGCCGCCACGACGAGAGCCAGCATTCATGTCGACCATGGACATGCAGCCCAGCGAGGTTCGCATGGTCCGAGAGTCGACCGTACGACCAAATATCCGATACAGCGTGATCACGTACGACGACGAAGTGGAGACGTTGCGGCACATCATCAACGGCAAGTTGGTCCAGTACCCCGCCGAGGATCGCATCGTGGTGTATTGTCACAAGATCATAGAGATGCAATCATACGCCGACGAGATCGGGGGCGCAGTGTTTTACGGCGGGGTGGGAGAGATCGAGCGGAAGCGGGAGATCATGGCCATGTTGACCGAGGGTGAAGAACGGTTGTTTTGGTCGACGAGCGCGTTGGGAGAAGGGATCGACGCCAGCACCATCCGAGTGGTCATCCACGTCGGCGGCATCAACAAATTGGACGATTTCGGACAACAGAGTGGAAGAGCCGGCCGGGATGGCATCACCGCAAGCGAGAGCATCGTGTTACGGGCGCAGAGGGTGAACCAGCAAGGTCAACCGTACATGGTCAGGACGGGAGGGGAGGAGCCGGAGATGTTGGAATATTTGGAGGGCAGGCGTTGTCGGAGGGCGGTGTTGGACGCCGACATGGATGGCGACATCACACGGACGAGTTGCCGCGCAGGCGAGCAGTTTTGCGACGTGTGTCGTGGCGAGGGTCGGAAGCGGATTCGTGTGCAGGTCAGGCAAGGAGAAAGCCAGATCAAAAGAGCACGATTGCAAGATGTCACCCCCACCGGACACCGCCAAACGGCCAAGCAGCAGGCAAGGGACATGGACGTGCAGCGAGAACGGGAGGAGAGCGCGAGACGACAAGAAGCACAGCAGCAGCAAAAGGAGGCACAGGAACGAAAAGCGGCCGAAGCGACATGGATGCGGGAGCAACGAGAACAAGATTCGATGCAGACACAGCAACAGCATCGCAACGTCGAACACGCCAGCATGGTGGAGCGATTGATAGATTTGTTCGATCGTTGGAAGGTGGGTTGCAACATATGTCGGGTCAACGGAAGGGCGGCGGGAAGGAAGGGTTGGCGAATATGCGGATGCACATCGGCGGAGGACCAGGCGGAGATCGACAAGGCATGCAGTTGGTTGAGAACGATACGATGGAAGGCGGCGTGGACGGCGTGTCATTATTGTTGGGCGCCACAAGCGATATGCCATTCGTGGGAAGCCGTACACGAGCACGGGCCGACGAGATACAGGAAAAGCGGGCAGGGAGAAAGGTGCCAGTATCGGGGTTGTTTGATGGAAGCGGTGGCGATCATCATGTTCCACGGCGGCGACGAAGTCATGACATGGATATCCGACGAGATCGAGAAGACGGACGGGAGAATGGAGGCAAACGAGTGGTTGGGTGGGACGATCAAGGAGGACGGGGTAGAAATGAGCGGAATGGTGTGGTTGTTTCATCAATGGGCGGAAAAAGAGCGCGGAGCGTTGCAGGAAGGAAAGCGGAGGGGTTCGATGGATTCATGGACATTTTGACAGAAGCATACACACGAATAGACGGTAGCAGAAAATTCACAAGGCCGTAAATGTTCACGAGTGGTGTGTTGATGAGTGTCGAGTGTTCGATTGGGTTTGTGGGTGGGGTGCCCCACGGAGGCATAGGACGATACGAAGTGGGACGATGGAGAGGGTGGATGGAATGGGAGAAACGAGTGGACATACGGCAGGGTTGGGGTGAAGCATCGTCGGAGGGCGCGCCGACAAAGTTGCAGGCAGGCGTTAGCGTGGGCAGAGAAACGGCGAATAGGATTTCCGGAGGCAAGAGGTGGAAAGAAAAGGGATTCAATGGGTATGTGGGCGGGATGCCCCACGGAGGCATAAGACGGCACGAAGTGGCACGACAGGCAAGGCAGAAGGCAGACGTCGACGAAAGCATTCAGAAAGAATTGGGTGAGGGTTGACAGAGGTTCGGGTCGGTGGGTTTTGGGGTATGTGGGTGGGATACCCCACGAAGGCATAGGACGGAAGGAAGTGAGACGACGGAAAGCAGCGATCGAAGGTGGCAATGAGAAGGTCGGCAAGGGGGGAACGGTGAGGTTGTAGTAGAGTTCGTGGAGAGGACAACAGAGTTTCGGGGAAAAGTAAGAATGTTTCATAGGGCGGAAGGGCAACAATTTTCGAATCAGCCCAATGATGTCGAAAAGCAGGGATCGAGTTCGGGAGGTTCAGCCCAAATGATCGAGGAAGTGTATCATGTCAGCAGGGCGTGAACGCGGCGATGAGTCAGCATTGCGAGGGTGGTAGGTGTTTTACAGGGTGGGGGCAGCGAACAACAAACGAGAGGTAGGCATATGAAGATCAAAACATTCAAGAGTGACCGAAGAAAGTGTAGCAGTAAGCCAGTGAGTAAGTAAGTGGGTAGGTGGGTGGGTGAAGGCGAAGACATGGGCGTAGGGTTAGGGTTGACGGGAGTTTCGGGTCGGAGGGGAGGGTGACATTTAGGTTCGAAGCGAGCAGACAAGGAGGCGAATCAGATGGAGAAGAAGATGTGATCCGTAGGGTGGAAGCAGATAGCCGTTAGCGGGGCGGTTGGAGAGCGGCGCGGACAGGTGTGGTGAATACAAGCGTAGGATGCAGATGCGTTAGTGCAACGGCGGCGCCAGACGACCGGGTCGAAGGCACGAGACAGGTCAGGTAGAGAGGCGACGATTAGCAAGGATGGCAAGGATCAAGACAATCAGGGAAGATGTAAGAACGTAGTATAAGGAAATAGAGTTTCCGATCCAAAAGTGTTCAATCCACCGATGGTAGAGTGGATTCAGACGCCCATACAAATAAGGTTTCGCGGGGGCCAAACGCAGGTACGGTGAATTCAGGGTAGGGTGGATTCAGAAAACATTGCCAGATACAGCCATACATGGAAGCGTTGGATAGCCACGACAAATTGTAAAATCATTGATATTGCAAATAGTTCGATGGGAGCAATATTGGTCAAGTTGTGTGCGATGGAAGCATAAACATGTGGAAAGTCAATTGCAAAAAAGTCGACAGGGATTGGAAGCCGCCAAGTGGCATCCAGGAAGAAAACGAGGCAGAGCAACAGAAAACAATGTATACAGACACAGAAACAAAATACGGCAACAGATTGGCAAAGATACCAAACAGCCATGGAGCGTGCAGATTTTTTTTTTTTCGAGCATGTGTCCAGTTGGCAAATTATCGTGTGCAAGCAGTGCAGATGTGCAGTATGGCCGTCCGAAGTGGCAGCGCATTTGACCAACAAACAGCACAACAAGACACAAAAAATCGCCAACAACATCAGGGAAGAGGTAGAGCAATGGCAGGGCGTGATACAGTACCCAAGCGGATTCGACATGCCGCCATTCGTCACGGAGCCGGTCCAGGGGTTGCCATTGTTTGACGATGGATTGCAGTGTCGGTTGGATCAATGCGCATACATCACGCGCGAAACGAAGGCATTAAAGAAGCATTGGCGCATCGAACACGGATGGAGTGTGCAGCAAGGTCGCGGGGGATCAGGTCCGGCCAAGCAGGAAGCCGCGCAGAGACGTTTCGAAGAAGCCAGCAAGCGGGTGAAGTGCCAACGGTTTTTCCGCAGCCGAGCGCATTCCCAGTATTTCGAGGTCAAAGGTGCAGATGATGAGCCAAACACCACACAAAATGTCAGAGGTGGTGCCGAAATATGGGAGATGGCACGGGAAGCAGCGTCGGCGAGTTACGAGCAAAAGAAGAAGTGCGATGTCATCCGGCCGGGAGAGAGGGACGAGGTGAATCCGTGGTTGCGGCGCACCGGTTGGGTTCCATATTTGACAGGGTGCCCGCAAGGCGATTTGTTGGAGGCGATTTGTTGGCGGCGATTCGAAAGCCAGACGAGTATGCCGATGAGCGGGAAGAGTGCATTGCAAGCATCGTTTGGAACGCGGTGGGCGACATGGCCGCCATGGCAGAGAGTGGGGTCCGCCGCAGCGGGGTGATGTTGCGTTTCGAGGCCATCCGCACCGAGATCGACCAGGTACGATACGCACCGTTGGAGCCGTATCGGGAACGCGAACGAGTGCGCAAGGAGTGTCAGTCATGGCAGCAGATGGTGATATTTTTCGTCCGGACGCAGCAACACAATACGTGGCAGACGCCGCCGTACGGTTTCAACAATCGTCAGAAAAAAGCGTTCCAGCGATTGGTGGAGGCGGCGGAGCAAGAGGTCGTCCGGAGAGAGGGCGACAGTGGCAGCAGTAGCGATGACAGTAGTGAGGATGAAGACGAAGAGGACAGCGGCGAGGAGGAGATGGGAACGAAAGACGAAGCCAGGAGGAAAGACCCGAGCAAGCGCGACACGGTGCCCGGAGGGATGGAAACAGTGCAATTGGCGGCGTTGGATTTTTGCATCGAGTTGTTGAATCAAGCGATGCAACAGCACGAGACGGAGATGGCGTTGGTGTGCGCGTTGGCAGTGTTGGGTGTGCGGCCGGCGGGGAAGGGATTCCGTGACGAGGAGGTTTTCCCGTCGATTTTGTCGTCCATCATCAAGATCGCGCATTTCATGATCGTTTTGAAGGCCGAGCCGGTGACCGGCGAGATTTGCGAGGAAGAGTGGGCGGCGATAGAGAGCCCGTGCACGTTCGACGACAGCGGGTACGAAAGCGAACGACCGCAACGACCACCGAAGCGCAGACGGGGCACCAGGAGCAGTTTCCAGTGGGTCAAGAAAATGATGGATGCGTTCATGGTGCGCGGCACGGCCAGCCCGATGCAGTGGATGTTGGATTTGAGAGCGTACGGCATGAAGGTTTCGTTCAACACGACGAGTCAAGGACACGTCGGTTGGCGGAACGGCGACGTTTTGCAATACAAAGACATCCATTTCAGCATGGCACAATTCCGCGGCATGGTCGACCAGTTGCAGAGGACGACGCGGAAGCAATTGATGGAGATCATGTTCGCAACAGACGAGCGAGACGTACCCGCCGTGCCGTGGAACGATTTGTTCGACGACCCCAGCAACGACAGCGACGGATGGAGTTTTATCGACGACACCCGCACGCCGTGGCCCGTGGACGGACGACGATGGTTGTTCGAGCGTATTCGAAGCCGACCCGGGTGCAGACGACGATTCGCGAGCGAGCAGACGGCGAAGGGTGTCAACGAAGCCAAGTTGAGGGATTGGATGAAGATGATAGACGATTTCCGCGGTCAGTTGTTGGCGTTGATGCACATCACCGGCGGACAGCCAGCGCGAGGACCCGAAATTTTGAGCGTGAGGCACAGCAACACCGCGCAAGGCCGGTTCCGCAATTTGTTCATCGAGGACGGCATGGTCGTGTTCGTGACGCAGTATCACAAAGGAGAACAGTACCAGGCGAACGTGAAGATCGTCCACCGTTATTTGCCGCGCGAGGTGGGCGAGTTGGTGGTGTGGTATCGGTGGTTGGTGGTACCGTTCGTCCAGCGCATGAAGTCGTGGTTGTGGTCCGAGTCGCCCGTGTCAGAGCACATATGGGGGCCGGGCGTCGACGGGAGACAATGGACGACGGAGCGGATGAAGAGACATTTGCAGCGAGCCACCGAAGCCGGGTTGGGCCACAAGATTAACGTCGCCGCGTATCGACACATCGCCATCGCCATCAGCCGCAGGTGGGTGCGGTCCAGCAGCGCATTCACAGACGAAGAGGCGATAGACGACGGGGACGAGATAGCCGACGACCAGGCGACGCACAGCCCGTTCACCGCAGGAGCCGTTTACGCCCGTGAGATGCAAGAGTTGCCCGGATCGATGGCCAGCCGCCGACAGCAATTTCGGACAGCGAGCGTGGATTGGCACCGATTTTTGGGGTTCAATTCCAGCATCAAGGATGAGGTGCAGCGAGGAATCAAGCGCAAAGGGGATCCGTTCCAGGGGCACAGCAAACGAGCGCGCATCGAGAGAGAGCAGCGAGTACGGTACATGGACGTCATCGGAGAGATGACGTGGATGATGAAACAGGACGTGGTATTGCGAAGCGCGCAGGGCGAGGCGTTGTCGGCCATCCGGAAAGGCGACGGGAAGA